ACCGCCCAGCACCGCCCAGCACCGCCCAGCACCGCCCAGCACCGCCCCCAGAGAGCGTAGCAGTCAGACCCACCCCTTCGGAGAAACGTACCATGAGAAATGTGTTGAGACAGTATGGCACAACTGCACTGGGAAGAAGTGGCGCCAAGTGCTGACTCCACGGTGAAGGCGAAGGCACGCAGTAGTCGACTGAGGACGGGGCTAGCTCCCTCGACTCCAGCCGGGACCTGATTCTTCAGACTCGGAGACCAAGAACCTCTCAGCTGGCAAAGAGTTGAAGATAGGACTTTGGTTACATATAATGTATATCATCCAGATCCTTTCTTTCTTTCTCTTTTTCTTCTTTGTGAAAAAGAAAAAAAAAAAACCCTCTATGAGTTGTCATAAATCAAGTGCTCATATAGAGCTTGCTAAGGGAAGCTTGGGGTTACTCTATGTGCAGGGTTGCCCACAACTAGCAGACGTGCCAGGACCACCTGGTGCTGCTGCAGCTCTGTGTGTTCTCTGAGTCCACCCTACCCACAGGAACTTCCCAGCCCCATGCCTCTCACAAAGCATCCCCCCCCCTTCTCCATTTCCAAAAAAGGCTTTCATGTCCTGCCTCCCTGAGAAACCACCACCTCCTCCCACTGTGCGCTGCTCATAGATCTTACAGCTTCACAAACTCAACATATGGTTGTGGAGTTTCTTTCTTCCTGCCTGTTGCATGCTCCTTTTTGCTTCTCTTGAGCTGTATGTAATTGAGTAAACAGTAGGTGCTCTCATCAAATGATACCTTCATCATCCACCACTGGGACTGACTCGCGCAAGGCCTCTAATGTTTGTGTGAAAGGTAAACATTGCTATGAAATATTGACCACACAGAGGATTGGACCAAGCCCAACCCCCTTGCAAAACCAAACTGTTTCCCTTGAGGACAACCACCTCTCCCAGCAGATGTCTAGCTGTGGGGCAGTAGAAGAGGGCACTGTTGCCAGCCGCCCTCTCTCTCAACTGGTGTGTAGGTCGGTGTCTTCAAACCCCCTGAGAGAGAGAGAGAGAGAGAGAGAGAGAGAGAAAGCGAGAGAGAGGGAGGCAAGCCTGGCTCGTTTCCATCCCCCTCGGGAAACCACACCTGGAGGGACATCCATGGAAAGCACAATGTCTAATCTGGGCTTTTGTAACCTCCTTTCAAATTTCACTTATCTACTTCTCTCAAAAGCGTTGAGAAATAGGTTCAAACTGTATCAACAAACGATCAGAACTTGATTCTCTACAGCAAAGGAAAGTATACATTATAAATAGTAAAGCAGTCAGCTTGAACATTGCTGCCAGCCACTTACCCAGTTGAGGGATTTGAATGACATCATAACCCTGGAGAGGGTATTGCTAGCCAGCTGGTATTATTTGCAATAACACACATACAAAAAACTGGAGAGAGAAAACACAGCCATACACCCCCCACACACAAACACACACACATGCTGTGCACACACACACATTTAGCAGAAAAATATGGCCAATGGGAAATGTATGCACCTCACATACTGTTTCCTTGAGGTTGAGGAGATGACAGGCATTCAGCTTTGCTAAAAAATAAGATCATTTTATTTTTCAGCTGGTTCCAGAGCCCAACATAGGCTCTTTCTCTGCACAAAGCATGATACAATGCCCTAACAGGAGCCGGCCCACTGCCGCCTGCCCATCTATAGGTTTTAGGAAATGAGATCATTCCCCTCACTTGGCAACTAGGACAAGGGCTCACCCAAGTGAGCCCTTTCAATCTAGTTTACCCTGGTCATTTCAGGGTTAACATCGCCGGGCTTTCTGGAGATGGTCTTCTTCTCCCTTTTGTTTTTTCTTTTAATTCTTTTCTTCAAATTTTGTATTTGTCCTAAAATATAAAATTGCTCCTGTGTCCCACTTAGATCCTGTAATCCTGGTAAGGCGTATTAGCAGACGTGTGTACCTTCAAGCCCTATGGAAAGTTAATCAGGGAACAGATCCTATTTTCGATGGCAGCATCAGTATTTAATGTTGGCTAACCCTGTCAGTAACACACATTCTTTTAAGAGAAAAAAAAATGCTTCTGTGCTCCAGTTTTTAAAAGCAAAGGTATGATGTTATTTGTCACGGTGCCCAAAAAAGTCCTTACTCGATAACTTTGCCAGAAGAGGGAGAGAGAGAGAAGGCGAATGTTCCCCCAGCTGTTTCCTGTCTACAGTGTCTGTGTCTTGTAGATAAATGTGAGGATTTTCTCTAAATCCCTCTTCTGCTTGCTAAATCTCACTGTCCCTGCTAAATCCAGAGCAGATAGAGCCTGCGCAATGGAATAAAGTCCTCAAAATTGAAATGTGACATTGCTCTAACATCTCCCATCTCTCTGGATTTCTTTTTGCCTCATTATTCCTGCTCACCAATTCATTTCCAGACTTTGTACTTCCGAAGCAATGGGAAAAATCAGCAGTCTTCCAACTCAATTATTTAAGTGCTGCCTCTGTGATTTCTTGAAGGTAAATATCTCTTACTTTTTTGAACTCGTTGGGGAACTGTGTTTAAACTGTGTGCTGTTTTCTGCTGCCTAGAATTGTTATTTGCTTTAGAATTTGCATTGTTTTAGAACTGGGAGTTCTTTACAAATTGCTGAATGTGCAGTTCTGTGCGAGCTGTAAAAGAGCTCCGGGAGATGAGTGCATTTGCAGAGATATCTGTACGGGTAGAAACTATTGCAAGGTACTTATAAACCCTCCACTTACAGAGCCTCCACGCTGCCGTTTCTAAGCAATTCCTGTAAATCTTGCCTGTGGCTCGGGGCTGGAGAGCATGGTTATAAACGCGGGTGTGCTTTTTCTTTCACAGGTGCAGGCGCTCGGTTTTTAAGGTCGTGTTCGTGTGTGTCTGTGCCTATGTATGTGTGTGATTTGTCAGGAGGCATGTCACAGATTAAAAGTTACATTTTAGATGATAGGAAAGCTTTTTAAATAGGCTTTTTGGAGCCAAGAACCGGGAATTCTTTGCACTTATGCCCAGAAAGTCAAAGTTAAAGTGAAGTTTAATTTGCTTTTCTGAAAAAGCTCTCAGACAACTTGCCGTCTTTGCATATTCAGAAAATTTAAGCAGATCCACGCTGAGCTCAGAAAGCAGGCGCATTCTGGCGGCTGTCTTTCCAACTTTCCTCTCTGGAAGAGGACTTCAGTGGATTGAGTTTGGGCTTAGATTTCGAGCTGCAAGCTTTGCTCCTACGCTCGGCACCGTAAAGTCTCTTTAGGTGAATCTGGCTGCCGCCCGGGCAGCTGTCACAACGCTGACTTCTCCTTTCCGATCACTGGCCCTAGTTCAAGTTTCCATTCTCAGCAAAATTATATCCTTCCAGACTTGTGTTTTTTTCAATTTGCAAGCACTTTTAAGCCGCTGTCACTGGCTCCTTGGAGGCAGTTGCCGGGAGAGCTTAATTCATAAAAGCTCCCGGCACAGAGAGCAGCGTTTCTTTGCTGCTTTCAAATGCTTCATCGCTAGGACTTTTCTTAGGCAAGTAAGTGCCTTGGGACTTAGGGAGACAACCTTGTCAGGCACCTAATTCTGCCATCCTTGAGATGCTGAGCAGGCTCCAGCCACCTTACGGGAGTGAAGTCAGCCTTCATATACGCTGTGTGGTCTGGCGTCTGGGATTGCGTCTCCCTATTTAAGAGGCTCATCAAAGCGACTGTGGAATGTTACCTCAGCGTTCATTGCAAGTTTGGAAAATTGTCTCCAAATGAACTCTGTTTCCATGCCGGGTCTGCAGAACATTACAGAAGTGGAGCTAGCAATATGCTTCAACTTTTTTTTTTTTTCCCCTGAACTTGCAGCAGGAGACGTTGAAGGGAGTTGCTGTGTGGTGGTCTTTGAAATGTAATTCAAAGCGGAGGTCAACTGCCTAGAGCAGTGTACACTGGGGCACAGTCTGGCTTTGTATTCTGAGTCTCAAGGTATTTCCCAGTGCTTGAGCCCGGGAAGGTGGGGGAGGAAGGCAAGGAGCTGGAACTTGAATCACTCTTCTGGGTAGCTGAGATAGGTAACCATACAATGGAAATGAGTGGCTTCACCTGGGGGAAAGGATTGACTTGCCTCCCAGCTGTGCAGTTTGCTCATTGTTTAAATGGACAAAAGGCAGTTCACCCAAGCTCATAGCATACCTGCCTGGGTGTCCAAATGTAACTAGATGCTTTCACAAACCCCACCCACAAAACAGCACATGTTTTTAAGTCCTCAGTTTTCTATTCACATCAGCCTCATAATACCCACTCTGACCTGCTGGGAAAAAGACCTGGACGGTCCCAAATGACTGCAGCTCCAGTGAGTACCTTCTTATTGATGCTTGCCCTCACATTTTTACTGGGCATTTTCATTGTTGTTCAGGCATCTGGAATCAATTGATACCCCACTCGTTTAACACAGAAAAGTCTTTGGAGACATGGATTTGCTGACGATCTTTGAGGAAAGTGTTCTGAGTTCAGGATTGGGATTTTTTTTGCCCTCTCTTTCTCAGGCTCTTCCTTGTCCTCTTCCTATCACACCAATGGCTTCTCTCTACCCGTTTTCCTTGTGGTTGATGAAATAGGAGGCTGAGGAAATGGGGAACATATGGGGAGACTTGTTTTGAACTTTTTTTAAAACTCCCAAGCAAGTTTGTTATTGTTTTCTGTTCGGGGAACATGGTGTGGTCGGCTCTGATTCTAGTGTGCTGGACTGATCTCTGAGCTAAAGGAAAATGCACCAGAGGTCCTAGAATTGTAAGTACTGATATTTATCAGACAGTGTTTTAGTATAATTCCATGCAGAAAGAAAAAGGGGGAAAATTGGGTAAAGCAATTTGCAGTTTTCAACTCTAGAGATTCATGTGTCTTGCTGAATTGAAAGGCACTATCCCTTAAAAATAACTATTAAAATATAGTTTGGGACAGCTCGTGACAATCTAAATTTACAAAGGCTGTGAGATTGAGTAATATGTGAAGTTGGTCCAAACTAATCATTGCAGGTGCCTGGCCTTCACCATCATCTGACACTCAGCAGGGGTAGGGGGCAGTGTTTCCAGAATGGGTTTGCTGGAGTATTATTCATTCTAGAGCTCATCTGTTGCCAGAGTGTAGGGATGTCTTCTCTAAGGCCAATTATGGGGACACAGGGCTGCCCTTTGGAAAGGAACCATGAAGCCCTGTTGGGTTGGATTTATTCAAGTTTCCATGAGAAATACTGAAGGGGAAACTCCCCTTCAAATTCTTTTCATAACTAAGAGAAATGAGTACATATTAGCTCATTTCTAAGAAAATCTTGGGTCTTTGGTTGTGTAGAGTTAGAGTGCTTCCATGCAAAAATCCTACTAAGAAAATGTACCAAGGGCTTCACGAAGGTCATACCTCCTCCTTAATTGCATGTCCACTGTTCATGATGATTTGTAAATAGAGAGTTCTTTTCATCTTCAGCTGCTCTACAAGCACTGATTAAACATTTACCATATGCTGTCAAGAATCAGGAGCTTTGGGTTCCTTGCCCTCTCCAAATGCTAGGCTGAAGATATGACCACAAATTTGAAAATTTGTTTAAAATAGTTTAGCAAAATTTATCAGTGATGCAGCAGCTGTTAAGTTGAGAATTCACACAGGGCAGGGAAAGTAGCCATAAATTAATGTCTGAGTCTCATTCTCCAAACAAGATGGGATTGAATGAAATTGCCCCAACTGTGAGGTTCAAAAAGCCTCTTTAAAAAATTATAGCTCCCAGTGTACACCCATGACCTCATTTATAGGGTAGCTCACCCAATGCCCTCTTGTGACTCTTTCCATGCTGCTGAAAGTGTACGCATTTGAAAGAGGTGAAGCTGCTCACCTTGGGAGCTCACCTGTACTGCAAGAAAGTACAGGCTGGTTTCACAAGTAGCAGTATGAAAGAATGGGATGTCACCATAGCACTTGTCTGCTTCTTAGAATGAAGAGAGACTCGGGTCACAGGAATCCTAATGTTGGCAAGGATGCCATTTGGCTATCAAGCATTGACTAACTTGTGCCAAACAGGAGCCCCTTGGTAGATTTTTGTTATAAAATTGGTAGAGTGGCTTATGAATGCTTCCCAGAGATTAAGCCAGACTTCCCGTTGTTCAAGGAAAGGTTCTTGCAGATTTTAAGCCCTGTGCTGCCCTGCACATAAAAGGTTTTCTGTGTATGTACATCTGTGGTAGTGGACTAGAAGAGAGAGGCTTTGGAATATAAGAATTACATTTATTTCCATTGAGCCTCTGAGAATGATTTTTAAACTCCCTGACTTTCTGCCGTCCTTTTTCCTGCTTGTCACTCTCCTCCAAGGCAGGCATAGAAATTAGAAACTCCCTTTCCCAAGGCAACCATAAAACATGGGCATTTGCTTCTGACCCCCCCCCCCAGCTTGCTGCAGAGGAGCTGATCAGAGAGAAATCTGCTGCCTGCCCTGTCTGATAGCAGGTCATTGGCCACTTTTCCAAGAGAGGCCCTAAATACTATACCTTGGATCTAAGAATGCTTCGCAAAAAGGCCTAGCAGTATCAGGAGAGGCAAGGCATGCTGAATTTCCCAGCTCAGTCTACTGTCATTAAATCATAATTCCTCCCACTGCCCGCGCCTCAGTGGACTGAAGCGTAGCAGCAGCAGCAACGACAAATGGACCTCATTCTGGAGTCTCCTTCCAAAGGCTCTCACCTCACCCAGTCCTTGAATTAAACAAAAGCGTCATGACTTTCTCTGGTCAATCTGCATTTTGTTATAGAGGTACAGACTATGCCCTTCATGATGTGTAAGGAAAGGTGTCAGACTTTGTTGTCATTGTGATTTTGTGAGACAGTTGCATTCCTAAGTCTTCATGTTTTTTCCTGTTTCTGGATTGTTTGTTTGTTTTCTGCTTGTGGTTGTGTTAGCTGCTAACATTTTCAGGTAAGACTTCTCTTTCTCTTCTCCCCTGTGCTCCCTCCCTTCTTGCTCTCTCTCTGAAAAGTTATAAATGATATATTTTCATAATACCTTTCTTGCCAGTGTAAAAATCTTCTTAATCTATGGCCAGAGAATGATGCCCTGGTTAATTTACTATTCTGATCAATAATAATTATAATGAATATATGTACTATCTGCAAACAGCCAAGTTTTAGAGTGTGTAAATTAAAACAGTTTGATTACAGAGCTGAGCACATTTAACTTTTGAAAATTGCGATGTTTTATCAGGTTCTCAGAAGGGCATGAGAATCCCCCAACTAAAATAACTACATCTTTTGTCACGCAATAAATGTTTGCAGCCCTCTTGCCCTCTTTATTCATAATAGGAACTCATAAAAACCTCAAGAGGACTTCTGAAGATCCAGTAGGAAAGGGACTAACATGGTCTGTCTGATGTCAAGACAGGCTCAGGCCAGGACCCACAGAGGTCCTTCATGCCATGCTGTTCTCTAGGCCAATGGCCAGAGAGGACCCAGAAGGACACTGACCCTCCTTTTGTTTTTCCCTTTGGCAGATAAAGATGCACAGCACATCGTCTTCACATCTCTTCTACCTGGCGCTCTGCTTGCTCACCTTCACCAGCTCCGCCACAGCTGGACCAGAGACCCTTTGCGGGGCTGAGCTGGTGGATGCTCTTCAGTTCGTGTGCGGACCAAGGGGCTTTTACTTCAGTGAGTAGCCCTCCCATCCCCGCCCTTTCTCTCTCTCTCTCTCTCTCTCTCTCTCTCTCTCTCTCTCTCAGCATTCACTTTTCTGTGCTGCTAAAATTCTGAAGCATATGGCTTTGTGGATTTACAACTGCAGGGATTGTGTGAATAACTGAGTGACTGCCCACGGCTGGCAGCCATCCTCAGGCTCTGAGATCCCTCACCTTAAAGTTTGCATAGCATTTCGTCTAGGCTTTTGGAAGCTTTGAGAGATTTAGGGGGGAATTTTCTTCCTTAAGAGTTTGTCTTTAACTGCTCCCACACACACCTTCCTCCATATTCCCCTACTCTCCTGTTCCTTCAATGAAAAAACAAGACAGACTAACCCTGGAGTATTGGAGATTTTGTTCTTAGCCCTTTGGGCAGAGTTACTCTACAGAGTTTAGTGTAAAATGGTCAGGATCTCCCATCCCAAATTTATGTGAACTTGAGAGATGAATTAAATGGAGAACAAATTATATGACTCCATGCAACACAACATCACCATGAGTGAACAGAAAGTGATCTTTGCCAAGACGTGCTTGTGAATAGGTCGGCTTGCTCCAACTGCACACTGTAGCGGTGTATCTACACGCCCTCTATGCACACTGACCTTGATTCTCTTTGTCACTACTTTCCTTTGATGTGGTTCTTCCCTGGGTACTATATCCACCTAGACAGGAGTCTTTGAATTCAGCAGCACAGACCTTATAAGTACGTCTCAGGCACTAAGAAAGTCAGCAGTCAGTGGGAAGGAGACAATGTCTGCACGTAACACACACCCGAAGTCAATGGCCACCAAAGGGAGTGGTCACTTGAAAAGAATCAGTCTCACAGACGTCCATCAAACAGTATATTATAATGCAGTGAAAAACTGAAAGGAGGTGTGCACATTCCTTTGGAAGAGTAAAGAGTTCCTGGAAACTGGGCATGAATCGTTCACTAGGGTTCCTATCACTCAGGGGTAATCAGATTACCTCAGTGGCCCACCAGGCTCAAGCTCTGAGTAGCTCTTGAGATGAATCACATTCTCCAAGTCTCTCTTGTCTTCTTGCTAAATGTCAGTCTCTCTTGATGCAGGTGATAGTGGTGGTAGCTTGTGTGGTGTGGTGTGTGTGTGTGTGTGTGTGTGTGTGGTGTGGTGTGTGTGTGTATTTGTGTGTGTGAGAGAGAGAGAGAATGAGAAAAACATTTACTCATGTAAGTTTGGCGATGTGCAAAGGAACTACTGAAGAGACTGTTAATGTGCATTTACCATGGTTTTGGCAAAATAAAATAAAAACAGACAAAGCGAGAGAATATCATCAAACAGTCCAACGTGCTTTCAGCTGTTTGAATGGGAAATTTTCCACTTTGTGCTTCCTGCCAGTCCTTTATTTGAATAAATTCACTTATTTTTCTGGCAATGAAACAGCTCCATTTAGTTTTCTGTTGCAGGGTAAATGAATGAGTTGATTAAGTGGGTGATTTTTTTTTAAATTCCAGACTTGTTTCACCTTTAAGAAACATTCTATAGAAGGTGAACATGAGACATGTTCCCAGGGGAACAACGAACTGCGATCGTTCTGTAACTTGTTGCAATGGGTACATGTTTTCATTTTGAAAGCGTAAGTGGTTCTCACCTCCAGCTCCCAAGAACTTTGTCTTCTCTTGGCACTCCATGCAGGCAAGTTTATTTCATCCATTTCCCTCGTAATTCCCAAGCCTGCAAGTGCCTTCTGTTTAGTGCCAGGTTGAACTGTAACGCTCATCACAATGTCTGTACTCCAGGATTTCCATGCATGGTACATGACTACTTGAGCTTTCTATGCCTGTGATGTTTGCAGTAGATAATGAAAGCAAAAACAAGAAATACAATAACACAGCCCTAGGTAACTGGGTGATACTTATATATGTCCAAACAGACCATTGACCATTGAACACCAACAATGGAAACCATTTTATTGCGTTGAAAATGTCTTTGCATTTGATCACTGCGAGGATCAAGTTTCAGTAACTGTGTTTAAGTTGTAGTTTAATAGCTTAAAATAAAAAAAATCTTATAGCCACTTGATATTTATAGCAGGGTTCTGGATTTTTTTAATACTTTTGTGAAACATGCTATTGTCAATTCTGCCATGAAGAGTACTTTTCTTTTCTTTCTTTCTTTCTTTTTTTAAACCATATTCTGCCTTATAGAAGTCTATTACTTAAGCTAACTCCTCTACCTGCCATTGGTTCCTTAAGCACAAAGGTATTCTTGCTAACTTTCTGGTCAAGTGTACAATCTTCTCTACCTGAGAAAAGCTGATCCTTTTAAATTGCTTTAGTTTATTTCAAAATACTGGGGAACATCTGTTGTGCAGTAACATGAGGTATAACTGAGGTGTCTGGAGAAGAATGAGAGACTGGTCTTGCCTTTAAAGTACTCAGAGTCTAGTGGTATGTTAGAAAAAGGGTATATATATCATATCCTATAAGAGAAAATAGCCTTGGAGAAGAGGTTATGTTCTTAATGCTTTTCCTGAATATTCTATCTCATTTATCAGGTTCTGCCCTCTCCAAGTGAAGCTAATAGAACTGCTTCTGTAGGACTGTCCTAGTAAGAGCCACCAAGAATTATGACTACCAAATACTCTGTGACATACTACTCACCTCATACCTACCTAGTTATTTGATGAAACTCTTTTGCCTTTTCCCATTGAATGCAATGTATGTATATCAACAAGAACTTAGAAGCTATACTTAGGCCATCCCCAAGATACACTCATGGTCTGTTTTGTTCTGGAGCCAATTATTCTTACGGGCATTAACTGTTGTCAACAAATTTTATTGAGTTTCCTTTTCATCCCCTGAGATTTACTGTGTGTGGCAAAGTCCAAGCTAAGCATTTACAGTCCTCGAAGCACCTTTTAAAGGAAAGCACTCCTCACATTTTTATCCCTCCAGTTGACACTTACTGGGATTTGCTCTTATTTCCAAAGTTTTACTGAGCACATACCATTTTATTATAAGCTGTTTCAGCTCCACTTTGGAAGTATGTATTTCTCGTCATTGTAGAAGGCAGTGTCTAATCTTGGTTGATATTTAAACATCATAAAGAAATTGGCCTCCATTTTTTATTTTTATTTTTGGTTAATAAAAAATATTCAAAAAGTGAGGGTTTTGAGTCCTATTCGAAGGGTTTTGAGTAGGTTTTTTTTTGTTGTTCTTAACTCTTGCTTTGGGTAGATTGACCCAATTTTTCAAATGAGTGCACATTACCCTTCTAGCCCAGGTTCTGCGGGAGCAGAGCAGACACAGCCTCCTGGATCATCTGCTGCGAAGATCTCCCCAGCATAAGTAGAGCAGCCGATCCAAAATTAATGCAGTTTCCCCAGACAGTTTCCCAAATGAAGGATCCAATGGAGAGCTAATTACAGATTCTTCCCCATGTGCCACAGGAAGAGAGCATGTCAATCAAGCTTACACTCTCTTGGTCCTGTGAGGAGAGCAATTCTATCTTGGAGGTGAAGGCTCATGAGGAAAGGGCCCTGGATTAACTCACCAATGAAACCACCCAGAAGATGTCCCATTCTCACTTTGTTTTGTCTGAAGTACACCAATGGATAAAATGAGAAAGGTTAAGCATAGGTGTAATTTTTTGACAGCTATGGTGATTAAACATTTTAACATGCTCTTTGGGAACTTCTGGAATTTTTCTCCTTTGAGGTATTTAAGAAGTTGACAGACAACCAACCATCTTGAATGGTTTCAATTAAGAACAACCAGAAGAAAGAGAGGTTCTGGGGTCTTTTTCAGTTTTAAGAGTCTATAAACAGTCCCTTAAATAAACTGTATATGCTTTACCTCGGGCAGTCTGGGGGAAAGGAAAAGTAAATCAATTAGAAAAGAAAGTTGGATACCCTTTCAGCTACCCCAGATTTATGGCTTTTGTAAAACATCCCCCTCCAATGCATGCTTATTAAGAACAGATCTGAATAAACGAATGGCATTCTTCATGTGTTAAAGCATACTGTTTTTAAAGAGTTTGAGTGAAACTTTGCAATTAGCTTTCATTGTTATTGATTGCAAAAACCTTCCTAGGTTTAGGTTGTTATTATGAACTCAGACTTTTTTTCTTTGATATACAGAGCTTAGAAAACTACCTCCAGACCTGTCAATCATTATTTATATGACTTTGGCAGGCAGTTAAACTTTCTGGGCTGAAATATCCTTGTCTATAAAACAAAAGGATTTTGTTGAAGCAAATGACCTTTAACTTTAACAGACTTGATGTCTAGGTTTCTAGCAACAAGCATTCATTCCACTGGGGAAAGGAAAGACCAGGACTTAACTAGTGACTGAGGGACATTCTGCTTCTTTTATCTTCTTGATATCATTTCAGTTAGTCCCCAAAGGTAGCCAGTCTGCTCACTTCAAGAAATAGGAGCCAGCTGCTTTGCTTTATTTTAATTTGAGCTTTAGTTCTCCAAGGACAGAACAGAAACAGAGGCATGACCACAAAGTCCCAGGTCATAAACCCAAGGTTGTCATCTCTCTTTGTTATCAAAGACAATCTGATGGTTCTCATCTTTGCACTGTCACACTGCCTTGACTTTCAGGAGCACTCAGTAACTCTGCTCATTGTCTCAGAAGAGGACTTTATGAATCCACCCAAAGCCCTTGGGCAGCTTTTTAGATAAGGCCCATCCAATGAAAGAAGAGGAACACATAAAAAAAGCTAGAGCTTTGCTTTGGGAAAGTGTGGATTTTGTGTTCCATCTGTATGCATTTCTTTACACAGCACCCCTCTTGGGAATCTAATCACGCATATGCTGGTTCAAGTTAGGGGTGAGTGTGGTCACTGCCTATGGAAAAACTATTCTCTTTGAAATTGATACATCTGGAATTGACCTTACAACCTTGCCCTCATTAGTACACAGAGCTAATAGGCCACAGATATTGTTTGAGAAAACAAAAAGAACACATGGCTTTTATCTTTGGCCTTCAAATTCTTGCTACTA